TTTACATCCCCCATCATACATAAAGAAAATGAAACAAATGGGCCAAAATGGCTCCGTCACCCTTTTTGAAAAATTTGAAAAATCATCTTTTCAGGCTACCGATAAGTTCAATGTTGGAGATTACACTCTAAAAAAAGCTACTTTTCACCGGTGCCGAATGGTACTTGGGGCGAATTTCCTCGTAGGAAAATACTTGTCCTAACGACTTTTCGTATCCTTGAGTGAACGGGGGAGATTGGTTGAATGATTACATGGGTCAAACGGGGAACACTAGTGGAGAGATCACACGGGTCGAATAGGGGGGACAAGTGAAGTGATCGTGAGGGTTAAATGAGGGAGACTTCTAGGGGAATTACAACAATCAAACGCAGCATACGAGTCAAACTAGTAAGACGAGTGTCGTGATCATGAGGGTCAATAGAAGGGTCAAACGGAGGAACCCGAGGGATCACAAAGGTAAAATAGGAGTGACGAACGGGGTAAACGTGAGGATCAAAATTCCGTTTCCATCCTTTTCCCCATTTTACCCTTGTAATCGTGCCGATCGTCTTCCACATATGACCCTCGTGATAACTTCGCTTTTCTTCCGTAGTTGACTCTCCAAAAAGTCCACACCGCCTACTGGTTCCCGACTGTCGCCCCTTCTTACGCTCATTAACACCCCTCCTTACGTTCATTAGGAAAAAAGTGGGGCAAAATGGGTTTGTTTGTCATCTTCCGAGTTGACACCCCCCCCCCCCCACCTGTAGCGTCGAGTTACATCCACACACTCGCTGACCACGGACACCGGAGAAGAGATGATCGACGGGTGAACGAAAACAATTTAGCCATCTCTCTCGCTCCTATACCGGCACGCGTATATCTCGGAGATGAATTCCGTCTCCGAAATCTATCCTACCTGTGAATTGAGACAAAGAATAAGACCGTCTCAACTCGGTGGCTCGCTACACCCCCCCCCCGCAAAAAAAACCCCGCAATAATGAATTTAAAAATTCAACGAATGGGGGAGAAAGGAATTCTGAGTCATTTCCCACATTAACGTCCCCTCCCGCCCCTCGCGCTCTTTAGGAAAAACTGGGGCGAAATGGGTTTGTTTGTTGTTTTTCGACTTGACATCCCCCCTCTCGCTCAATAATAAAAAAAACAACAAATGGGGCAAAATGGGTCTGTGAGCCATTTCCTAAATTGACTTAAGGGAACTCCTCCGCCCCCTCTCGCTCATCAGGTAAAATACAACAAATGGGGCAAA